ATGGGTTCTAAGGGGCCTAAGGTGAAGGGATATGTATATACACTAAGATATCCTTCAACGTGAGTCATAATCGACTCGTCACGGGAAGGGGCGACCAGGTCTTTCCCTTCCCATCTACATTCAGCCCTCACCCGGTCTAGGCAACCGGGAGTGATTAGACTAATATACTCCGATGCCGGTTCGCCGCGGCCCGGGACCGATGATGGGTTTTCAACCTGGAAGTCGGCAGATACCGAGCAACCAGTCGGTGTGAAAGCTTTCAATGGGGGTTCAGGTGCAGGTTCATCAGATCTAGCGGGGCTCGCGGCCGAGCTTGGTCTAGAAGGAACACTTTGTGAAGTTTTCGCCATTTCTTAAAGCTTTACGAAGAGATGAGAAGAAAATGCAACCAACGCAAAATTTGAGAAAGATAAGAAATGTTGAACCTGGAAGGGTCGTTTATACTTTTCCCATGAGGCGGTGGCACGAATCGCGAAGTCACAGACACGAAGCGACAGATAATTAAGAGAAGCATTAAATGCCTGCAGCAGGCGTGGTCAGAGCACTCGATGGCTTTTTCACCTGGCGTATGGCCATACGTCACGGGCATCACGTCACCGATCATATCGTTTATTATCATTACTCTCTAATAAACGAGGGGACTATCTGTATTGGGTGATACCCTTTTTTGCTTGAGCCCGACCGGGTTGGGTCCGGTCCGGGGCAAGTCGGGGCCATCGAACCCGACCTGGATGCAAGGTAGAATGATGGCCACGTCTACAACCGAGGTCGAGTCATTTCGAGACCGTTGCAGAGCTCGATATGAGTCACCACCGGATGGAGAAACACACAAGGTCGGAAGCCGGACTCGTAACGGATAACCAAGCGTCGCCGGATATCTCGCCCAAACGTGATTTTCTCAACCACTTCAGGCCATTAAGGCGTAATTACAGGGATCCACGATGTAATTAATTTACCTACCTTATTTTTACCCTTAATCGGAATGTATAAAAGGGGAGAAGACCCCATAAGGAGGGGACGGAAAAAAACCATTACACTACAGTACCATCTCTCTAAATTCTTGTACGCTATCAAGCACAATTGTTCTAAGCAATATTATATTCTGCGATTATTTACTTTAACAGCAATTGTTGAGTCTTTATCTTTATTTTCCTCAACCTAAACCTTTTGTATCTTTTAGTTCACGGATCCTTAAAACCCCATATAAATTCAATTGTTATCCGGATTCTAGGGTAAACAAAAGTCTAATTAGTATCTAAACATTTTGAATAACATCAAGAACTACTACATGTCCCATGTGTAGCTACTAGCTAGCTATTAAGCGGAGGACATATCTAGCTTGATCATTTCACAAAGTTTATTGGCAAACTTCATCCCATTTTTGTTTATTTTTCTTTCGCTCATTTTCCTTCACGCAGATAAATTAAATCACCTAACTGAATTATATTCTCAGCAAAAAGAAATTTATATCGGAAAGCTTATAAACCTATGTAAAATTTTACAATTAACTCGGGCTTGTTTCGAGCTAGAGGATACAATTTGATTTAAACCGAGCTACATAAGATCATTAGTTAAGTGGAACAAAGTTATTGAGATGCTTGGGGCTAGTTATTTTATCAACCATTAAGTGTTGGAATAATGAGAACCGATGAAGATCGAGAATTAGCTCGATCTATGATGAAGAACTGATGAAGAAGAAGGTTCTAGAAAGAGAGTTTCATAGAGAGCAAATGAACTGAGTTGTTCTCATTGATAATGTCGATCAATACAATGCTATACACTATTTATATACACTACTACACTAATCAAGTTTACTTCTCCACTAACTCTATAACCATTAATCCAATAATTAGTTATAATTAACTATACAGCTAACTACTTAGTCACATGACAGTCACGTGACATCACTCTCTTCAATACTCCCCCTCAAGCTAGGTGGTGCAAATAGACTAAGCACTCCTAGCTTTCTCATCAAGTACTCGTGATGTGATCTTCCTAGTGCCTTTGTGAATAAGTCTGCCTCTTGATCCTTTGACATTACATACTTTGTCTTGACAATTCCTTGCTGTATCTTCTCTCTTATGAAGTGCAAGTCTATCTCTATTTTCTTTGTATGTTCGTGAAATATGGGGTTCATAGCAATTTGAATTGCTGCTTTACTGTCACAATGCAGCTCTACTGGTAGCTCAACTTCTGCTCCTAGTTCTTTACAGAGTCCTGTCAACCATGAAATTTCTGCAACTCCTGCTGCCATGCTTCTATATTCTGCCTCTGCTGAACTCCTTGATACTGTGCATTGCTTCTTAGACTTCCATGACACTAATGAACTTCCCGATTTCATCGCATAACCTGTTATAGATCTCCTGGAGACTGGGCATGATGCCCAATCTGCATCACAGAATGCTGTCAACTTAGTTGACTGTTCAGAGTTCATTAACAAGCCCAGACCTGGAGCTCCTTTGATGTACCTCACAACCCTTATAGTTGCTTCCATATGGAACTTCTTTGGACAATGCATGAATTGGCTCAGTACATGAACTGCATAGCATATTTCTGGTCGAGTCATGGTGAGGTATAGCAGCTTTCCTACTAGCCTCTGATAGGGACCTGGATCTCCCAACTTCTTATCTTCTTTAGAGTTCACACATTGATCATATTCTACAGTTGTGAACCTTTGATTACACTCCATTAGTGTAGTTACTGGTTTTGACCCTGACAGTCCAAGATCAGTGATGAGTTCTACAGCAAATTTCCTTTGATTCATTAATATTCCCTTCTTGGATCTTGCTATCTCTATTCCAAGGAAGAACTTCAATTTCCCTAGGTCCTTGATCATGAAATTACTTTATAACATGCTTTTGGCCTCAGAGATTAACCCTTGATCATTCCCAGTAATCAGAAGGTCATCTACATACACCAGTACAATTACTAGCTTTGTCCCTTGCTTCTTTGTGAATAGGAAATAGTCAAAAAAACTCTGCACAAAACCTGAGTTGATCAAAGCCTCAGTCAGTTTTAGATTCCATTGTCTTGATGCCTGCTTTAGGCCATATAGGGATTTATGCAGCCTACATACTTTCTCCCCCTGGCTGGGAAATCCCTGTGGCAAACACATATAGACCTCTTTAGTGAGGTCTTTTTGTAGAAAGGCATTATACACATCCATCTGATATAGATACCATTTGTTAGCAGCAGCTAGAGCTATGACTACTCTTACTGTCACCATCTTGACTACAGGGGAAAATGTTTCCTGATCTATTTGATTATATCCTTTAGCAACTAGTCGGGCCTTGTATCTTTCAACCTCCCCATTAGCTTTGTATTTGATCTTGAACACCCACTTACATCCAATAGGTGTCTTCCCTGCTGGTAAGTCAACGAAGCTCCAGGTTCCATTATCCTTGAGTGCCTACAGTTCTTGATTCATGGCCTCCATCCAGTTGGAATCTGATGCAGCTTCTTCATAATTCATAGGCTCTCTTGTACTGGTAATTTTGGACAAATAGGCTTGGAACTTAGTAGATAGACTGGTATGTGTCAAGTAGTCCTGCATTGGATATTTGCAAACTTGTTGGCCTTCTGACTTCATTAGGGAACCATTGCAGATATAGTCTTGCATCCACAAAGGTTCCTTAGCAGTTCTGGTTGACTTTCTCAGCTGTTGTCCATCATGATTAGATGTTGCTTGTTCTGGAGAAATAGGCTGCTGATGGTGTGTGTCTTCAAGAGACCAAGTGGCTGGGGATGGAGTTTGCATTTCTGCACCATGATTATCTGCATCTGCTTGGACTGAAATGTCATCTGGTTGTGTAGCTTGGTCTGGACCATTTGCACCCTGAAGTGAACCTGCATCAGTAGTGACCGGAAAGTCCAGTACACCATTAGGGAACAACTGCAATTTTCCTTCCTCGAGCAATTGAAATGGAAAAAATGCTCCATAAACTTGACATCCCTGCTAACAAAAAAGGAATTGATTAAGATATTATACAGTTTGTACCCCTTCTGGGATGATGAGTACCCCATTAGGACAGCTCCAATTGCTCTAGCTGCAAGCTTGTCTCCTTCCCCTACTGATTTAGCAAAACATAAGCAACCAATGGTCCTCATATGCTGCAAAGGGGCACTCTTCCATACACTATCTCAAAGGATGATTTGCCTGATAATACTGACAAAGGCAACCTATTTATGACATAAACAGCTGCTTGCACACATTCCCCCCAGAACTTCAGAGGCAAGAAACCCTGCAGCCTAATGGCTCTAGCCACTTCCATTATATGTCTATGTTTCCTCTCCACTACTCCATTTTGCTGTGGAGTGTGAACACAAGAGATTTGATGAAGCATTCCATAAGACTGAAATAAACTGTTGCATTCTGAATTAAAGAACTCTGAACCATTATCACTTCTTAATACTTTTACAGTTACATCAAATTGAGTCTTTATTAATGCTAATAACTGTTTCAAGCACACGACTACATCACTTTTAAGCCTCAGTAAGTAAATCCAAGTCATTCTACTGCAGTCATCCACTATAGTAAGAAAGAATCTATGTCCATTATGAGTTTGTACTCTATATGGCCCCCAAACATCTACATGAATCATTTGAAAAGGTTTATCTAATCTACTAATACTCTTAGGGAAAGGCAATCTGTCTTGTCTAGCCAAAGGACAAATTGTCATTCCTTTATTCCATCTTTATTGGACTTAAACTTCAAGTTTGGAATCTGCTTCACCACTCTGTCTGGAGCATGTCCAAGCCTTCCATGCCATGTTCTCAAATCTTCCTCCTGTATAGAGTGATCTTGGAGATGCACATTTGCAGCTGTAGCTTTCAGTTTCTGATGCTGCAATTTGTACAATCCTTCCAACTCCTTACCAATCCCCTTCACCTTCCCACTGTGAAGGTCCTGCATTATCCAAAAATCAGGATAAAAGGAAACAAAGCATCTCAAGTCTCTTGTAAGTTTGGACACAAACAACAGGTTATATTTAAAACTGGGAACATATAGGACATTCTTAACAACACAGTCCTCACCAATTTTACTTTCTCCAATACACTCAACATCAAGAGAGGTTCCATCAAGTAAATATACCTTTGGTGCATTGCCTAGAATCTCATTGTTTATTTTGTCAAGTAGCTCTTTAGTGTGAACCATATGATTGGTCGCACCAGAATCCACTATCCACTTTTTACTGCTAATATTTTCATTGGCAATAAAGGTCTTAGTTGTACCTACAAAGCCTGAATTTTCACATGTGTCCTTGTTGATCAGCTTCAGTATTTGATCATATTGTTCCTGTGTAAATGTAATTGGCATTCCCTGTGCTGGACTTGCAGTAGATGCATTCATTGCTTGTTGTCCCTCCTGTGAAGTTGCAGTAGTAAACTGCCTTGTTATTGCCTGCTGCCCTTCATGTGTGGTTGCATTGGCCATAGGTTTTTTAGGAAAACCTGCTGCTCTCTTTCTTGTTTTAAAATCAGTTGGATATCCATGCAACTTGTAACAATTTTCTCTTGTATGCCCTTTGTAATTACAATAATCACAGAATAGATTCCCTCTCCTAGGCTTATGATTGTTTCCTGAATTTGTTCCTCTGTTTGTGAATAATGTTGTACCATCTCCTATGTCTACAGACAGAAAACTTTCCCAAGGCTCTTTGGCTTTCTTCAGAAACTACCATGGAATAGGCCTTGTTTACTGAAGGAACTGGGCTCATCATCAAGATTTGACTCCTAGGTTGACTATATGTCTCATTTAACCCCATTAGAAATTGCAAAAGCCTTTGATACTCAAAATGCTCAGAATAACTTTTAGATTCTGGGCAGTCACACCCAGGGCAAGGCATTAATGCATCATATTCTTCCCAGAGATCTGTTAGTTTTGAAAAATAAGCAGACAATGAGGAGATCCCCTGCGACAGAGTAGCAATCTCCTTGTGCAAATAAAAAATACGAGATCCATCTACCTTATCAAATTTATCCTTCAAATCAGTCCAAACTTTGTGAGCACTAGATTAATACACAATTCCACTAAGTAGTTCACTACTCACTGCATTCATGATCCACGACAGGACTATCGCATTGCATTTCTCCCAAAGCTCATGTAAGGATCAATCAAATTTATCTTTAGTACAACGACCGTCAACAAATCCTAGCTTACTTTTACCGATCAAACCTATTTTCATAGATCTGCTCCACAACGCATAATTTTCAGATCCAATCAGTCAAATAGAGATCAAGGAACTACCTGGAGTGTCACAAGGCTGTAGATACAGAGGATAGGGGTGGGCATAATACCGACCGAACCGAAAAAACCGGCCGAACCGTAAATTTTGGTTTTTCGATTTCGGTTAAATCGGTTTTTCGGTCGGTGCACGATTTTAAAATTATTAATTTTTCCGTTTTTCGGTGCGGTTTACGGTTTTTGTATTTCGGTTTTCGGTTAAACCAAAAAACCGAACTTTTCCAAAGTCATGTTTGAATTCTCACTTATCCTTTTTGCTTGGTTCGATGCGTTAACGTTGCAGAACTCTGGAGCAAGAATATGTACGATATATGTGCATTAATAGTGGTTGAAGCATCTTTTCCAGCATATAAATATTGTTTCCGGCTATCTTTTTCAAAACAAGAATTACATTAATTTGTTAAGTAGCGCTAGGATAGAGCATGCCCTCTTCTCTAACATGTTGTAAATATGCATGTCCACAGTAGACTTGAAAATTATAAACCAATTACATATATGAAAGATACACGTCTTTATCTTTCTGTTGTATGCAAAATATTTTGGACTTTTGGTATTTGAAAAGTTACTGGTGTTCCACACTACTAGTGTTTGTGCCTAAACGCTATAAATGGTGAGGGGGAATGAATTGCCACAATACAGTGTATTGAATACACATTATTTATAGGAGTCTTTAGACATTGTATTGTACATAATTATATACAGACTTCGCTGTTCCTACGAGTCTACAACCGTTTGAAACCGAAAATAACCGAACCGAACTTTGAAAAAACCGCACCGAACCGTAAATATTTTGGTTTGATTTGGTTATTAATATTACAAAACCGAAAACCGATTAACCGAACCGTATTTTTATAATAACCGACCGAACCGACCGATGCCCACCCCTAACAGAGGATGATGATGATCTATGGTTATTCCAGCGCTCGTTCCAGTAGCAGCAAAATTATCTTCTCCAATCGCCATAGTTAACAAATTCAGCTGTATTATTCTCTGATTCAACGAATTACAGATTCACCAATAGCAAATCGAAAGAAGAAGAAAAAAATGTTAGGCCAACTGATCGATGAAAATTCGAGCAATCAGCAACCTTAGAATTGATCTTTGAAACTAAGAAAATCAATCACAGTGAGCATACATCTAGCTCCCGTGCTCTGATACCATGATGAAGATCGAGAATTAGGTTGATCTATGATGAAGAACTGATGAAGAAGAAGGTTCTAGAAAGAGAGTTTCATAGAGAGCAAATGAACTGAGTTGTTCTCATTGATAATGTCGATCAATACAATGCTATACACTATTTATATACACTGCTACACTAATCAAGTTTACTTCTCCACTAACTCTATAACCACTAATCCAATAATTAGTTATAACTAACTATACAGCTAACTACTTAGTCATATGACAGTCACGTGACATCACTCTCTTCAATAAGAACACTTCAGTTTTTATTTTAATGCAATGGGCTGAGCTAGGGAATAAATCAAATTATCAATGATTAGAGTAATCATTAGAAAATG